GTATATTATCATTTACTGTTGGATGGTAGTTTCAAAATGAAATGAAATTGCGTTTAATAAAATGGGGATTTAACGTCTCACAGTTATATGCCGACCAATTTAATTAGGACGGGCATGCAGTGTGCTATGATGAGGGAAATTTTGCCCAACCAGTAGTGCCCTTTCGGCAGATAACTGCATAGTGGATATAAGTATCAAAATTGGCACAAATACTCCTTGGGCATTACTATCTTGAAAAAGCCCATTAGCCATTCGAAAATCAAGATGGCAACCATTTTCAAGATGATTGACTTTTGGTCAACGGAATACTTTTTCTTTTTGCAATAAAATCGCACCAAACTACTTTTTTTATTGATCCTTAACATCTAAATCTGATGGGCTCTTTCTTTCTGATGGGATGTTTATTTCACACTTCTGTAGCATTTATTTGCATCAGAATTTCTAGTGGAATACCAAAAAAAATATATTATTGACAATATAAAATAAAACAGATTAACCTAGGATATAAACATTAATTTGGTCACAAAATCCCATGAATTTATATAGAAAAATTCCAATAATCTTGACACTAATTATTTAATTATTTGAATCTAGAGACAGACTTTCAGGCAGTCATTAAGTATTTCATGACTAGTCTGGCTTACAGCATTGTTAACCTGTTGGCAAGTGGGAACAAAGTCCTTTGTCCATCCAGCCAGTGGAGGATAGCCTAATCTCCCAAGAGAAATTGTCAGTTACACATAACTTGAAAATATCTCATGTTATGATGCCTGTCATTGGTGGATTTCAACATTTATCGATTGTACTTGTCCCTCTAATAGGCTTAATATTTTGGTTTTATCATTGCATATAAACTATTATAGAATTTTCAGCACATAAACCTACCTTATTACTTAAGGTCTTCACACACACACAGGTTTATAAGTTGCTTTACTGGAGCAGGCTGGTAGACACTGTGGGGGGGGGGGGGGGTGCTCCCTACTTCACACACATACACACCCACAAGCATAATTTGCAATGGATTTGCATTGCTGACCCCATGTCCCCCACTGGTTCTGTAAGGCCCCCAACTACCTTGATGGTTCTGTAAGACACCCAACTGTGTGTCACAAATTCATACTGATGTATCAAACTGAAACTTGTATTAAAACTTTCTTACAGTTCAAGATATATATTGTTTTGGCCTGTTTTACATATGATCTTTTTTTAAAACAGTTACATAGATTTCAAGAAAATTGTCAATGTTACTGGAATTTGTATTTGATTGATCCCTGATTATGATTATGAGATTTGTTGTTCTGTGTAATGCATTAAACGTTTGAATGACAAAAGTTATCATCCGATCTATATGAAATTTATATGCATTATTTAAATTAGTAAAACAAAAAAGCCTGTCAAATTTCAAAATTTTCTGTAGATTACCTCCAGAGTTAACATCCTTGTTTCAGTTTGTAGAACATTGTGTACCCTCAAACAACAAAAATTATAATCTAATCTGTATGAAACTGTCTTGGAAATGACCCCAATTACCTACAAAAGAATAAATATGCAAGACCCGTGTCGACCACTCGGACGATTTAGTTGCTGTGGGCGTATGTTTCGTTGCCTGGCAACCTATCTTTTCATGAGTTTGTTGTAAAATTTGTTTTAATGCACTTTGACAATTATAAGTTCAATGCATGAGTAACTGTTATCTTGGTAATTTTTGGAAAGTGTAGTGAAATGTTTTTAAACATAAAAAATAAACAATTAATTTGCCTTACAAGTCTAATTGCTGCCAGTAAGTGTTGTCGACAGCAAAAGATTGCCATGGGGTTTTACATCTTCCAAATATCAGACACATGCAAAATGGCATAGAAATAATGGTTTTATTTTACCTAATAGCATCTAAACTTCACCAATCCTTGAAACAGATTAGTGTGGTTTCTTATTAGATAAAACTGGGTATGGTTGTAGTTTTTTATGGTAATAGATATTTGTAATACTCTTATACCCAGTGTTTTAATCTGATTCTGTTAATAGACAGATTTAGCTCTTACATAAAGCATCATTAACTGTATCCAACCCCTTTAGTGCTCCATACACCACCCCAAGCTATTCACATGACTTGGACGGCACAAAGCATACAGATAGGAATACACGGGAGATCAATCAGAAAATATTTATGGAAAACAGTCTTTTCCCCCTTTTCTGTAAAATAGATTGCACATTTGAGGATTTGTTTATAAAAAGTTAGAAAGAATTATTGATTTGGTTACATAAAACAAAATTCTTGAGAATTCCATCATCTAACCAGGCTATAATTTGGTCAAATAAATAAGCTTTTCAATAACCTTGGTTGACAGAAAATGTGTCATTAAAATGAGATATTAGTAATTGGGAAAAAAGTGATGGGTAAAAATGTATGTCATTGATATTGGATTCTACACTGTCAGTTTTAAAATCAGAATGGAGTATATGAATTCCATTTCATTTCGTGTTATTTAATGTAGACACATCCAAAATTGAAAAGGGTTCACTAGTCTGCAGCAATAAAAATTACTATAAATATGGGTATAAATAAAACAGCTGGACCTACTGAAGGTCAAGGTCAGACAGGGAAGTCAAGAGTCAAAATATTGTTACATGGGTATCAAAAGAACCTATGACCTATAGGTTTCAGAACATTTGTTATCCTGTAATATAACAAACCATTAGAATGATATTTCAAATATTAGAAGATATGGATCAAACGAAACAACTGTCAGGGTTGGTGTTTTACATTTCATTGTCAGGGTTGATGCTTTACATTTTGTTGTCAGTGTGGGTGCGTTACATTTCACTGTCAGGGTCGGTACGTTATGTCATTGTCAGGGTGGGTGTCTTTATGTCATTGTAAGGATGGTGCTTCATTACATGTCATTGTCAGGATGTCGTGTGTGTGTTACATTTCATTGTTGGAGTGGGTGTGTTATGTCATTATCAGGGTGGGTGCATTATTTCCTGGTCAGTGTGGGTGCGTTACATTTCATTGTTAGGGTGGGTGCATTAGTATTATTGTCAAGATTTCGCTACGGGTATGCATTTACATGTGATCATCAATTGTAAAAATGACAATAATAGATATTGGTGGACTAGTGAACCCTCAGACTAGTGAGAATTCGCTTCCAAAATTATGCATGCATTTGTACCAAGCCATAATCAGCAGAGATATACAATTCCAATTCCGTCAATTATCACATAGAAAAAGATTTCATAATATAAAGTCTCATAATACCAGATTTCCATAGTTTTTATACGCCCACATGACAATCAGTCCGTCCGTCCGTCCGTCGTCCACAATTTCTTGTGAACACTCTGCAGACTTCATTTATCATTTGATTGTTTTAAGATTTGTATACCGGTATTATCTTTTCATTAATGAGATGAAAAAGCCTATTGAATTGCAGCAATTTTCGTTAATTACGCCTATAGTCATGGCCCTTGTTTCACTTTGTTGAACCTTATGAACGCTCTAAGGATGAAAGTTATTACCTGATCTGTATCACATTTTTATGCGCTATTTAAATTAGTAAAACAAAGAATTCTATTGAATTTCAGCAATTTCCGTTAATTACTTCTAGAGTTATGGCCCTTGTTTCACTTTGTTTAACCTTGTGAACTGTCGAGTTTCGTGGACCATCTAGAGGTCAATCTGATTTTAAAATCTGTTTAAATATATAACCGTTTTGACAGTTGAGTTAGAAACCACGCCAATTGACTCAATGACAGACTTTATGGTACAGCGCGCACGTGCTAACCATTCAGCCACCCAACCCCCCTTAAACTTGATGTAGATGTTCATTAGATGAATGTCTTGACTGAGTTCAATGAGCTAATCAGTTTCATAGGTCAATGCTTGAGGACAAGATAACTTTGATTCTATCTGATAGAGAGTGATGAAACTTGTGTATAGTTCATAATCAGTTTGATTGCTTGATACTCTTGAAAAAAATAAATGTATAATAAATTAAAATGTGTCATCTATTTATGTTGGGATTTGGGCAGGGGACTTTTGACTAATTAATGAAATATCTGAAAGAATATAGAATCTGAATCCTATATCCATGCCTAATTCATTATTAAAACTCTTGTTAAAGGTTCCCAAAGGTATTGACACACTCATCAAAATTGTGCACTCTCCAAAGTTGGGAGTATTACTATTAACTTAAATATATTGTGTCAACATTGTGTCGGCGATATCACTTCAGTGGAAGCGGAAGTTAAATAAAGCTATTTCACCTACATAAGGACAAACCCTATCAACCGTTAATGTTAGTCATTCCATTAAATCTTTATGAAAAAAGTTGTTGAATGCATTTTGAAAACCAGTGATTATTAACAGAGCTAATGACCCTTGTCTCTGAAATCTGTTGAATACTTTGGGGAGAAAAGTTTGCAATAACTATTTTAGTAATTTACAAAATTTATTATCAGGATCAACCATATTATAAATCAATTACATGTATTTTTTAATTTATGGACTTTTGATAGAAGCATTTGAACAAAACTTGGATGAACCTAGTTGAAAAAACCCCAACATTTCTGTGAATGTTTACAGAGTTAGTGCCCCAGCCTATAAAACCTGTAATTTCATAAAAGACGAAAGTTAACAATGTTTTTTGTTGTTGTTTTTTGGGGGGGAGGGTGGGTCTTTCCCAAAACATGCACATAATGAACAGTTACTTAAGACTGGGTTTATTCATTTATTTATGGTTAAAAGGTATTATTTGATGCTCGGATGAACTTCCATCTATTTGTTTCAAGTGGGTGCACATTGCACTGAAAAACGTTCACAATATATTATGTCAATAGAATATTCAAGTTCTACTGATATTAGAATACTCAACAATTAGTTTCTGAGTTAGGTTTTCTTGTTAAATTTGTGACATCTGTTTTGTAGCCACAATACCCAATGCTAGTTTTAATTGCATTTTGTGAAAGTTCAGTTTATATTAATCAAATGTTAAAATATATTTCAGATAGCAGTAGTAGAAAAGTTGAAGTTCCATGAGATATTTCCTTATCACCTCTAACTGTAAGTATTTCAAAACCAGTTAGCAAACCCAACACTAGTATTTACTGAATTTACTTGAAAAGGGTGGTCCTTCAAGAAGTTGATCTTAATGTTGAATTAGAACTTTCAACAAGAATATGAATGTAATTTATTACATATAATTATTCGGAATAGTAACTCAACTAAACCTGCAATGCAGCTATGATGGGTTTCACAGGTGCCCCCCTAACTTCTAAAAAACAACTCTTTTGGGCCACCAACACTACAGATGATCGCCCCCGAACTGGTAGACCAAGGGTTACCACAAAGCGACAAGACCGCCATATTGTGTGACTGCACGTGCAGAATCCCTTCACACAGGCATCTGAGACAGTACGTCAGACAGTGGGAACACATGGAAGACCCATCGGTACCGATACAGTGCTCCGACGTCTCACCAGAGAGAACATCCATTGCTGTAGACCTTACCGTGGAACGATCATCACCCCTCGCGATCGACGTGAATTTCTATAGTTTGCCCAACAACACCAGAACTGGCGACATAGGCAATGGAAAACTTTTCTGTTCACAGATGAGAGTCGGTATTGCGTATCAACTGCAGATGGCAGGACCAGAATATGGCGGCGACGTAGCCAGCTCTTATTCTGACCAATGTGTCATGGATGAGACTCATGGACAGGTCCAAGCATAATGGTTTGGGGTGGAATCAGCCTGAACCAGAGAGTGGGTCCTGTGGTGTTCTAAAATCTTGGTCCGGGGAGAGGAGGCAGCATCACAGCAGTGCACTACATCGATCAAGCTCTCAGACCCCACGTCATACCACATTTCAGGTGTCAACGTTATACACTGGCCAGCCCTTAGTCCGGACTTAAACCCGATTGAACATCTTTGGGATGAAATTCAGAGGAGACTTAATAACGTCATACAGAGACCAAATACAGCCGATGGATTGCGCCAGGCTTTTCTGAGAGTGTGGTTCCAGGTGCCAATGGAGTTTATCAATCATCTAGTCCACTCCATGTACAGATGCTGTGCTGCTGTTATTGACACTCAGGGTGGACACACCAGATACTGATGTATAGACTGTGTACAGACTCTAAACCTTCTCGTTATGTCTTGGAATTGTGATGAGTTAATCACTAATGTGTCAACATACTGTTCACATACTCTCTGATTTTGAAATCATATTGACATTTTGTTTGCTGTTTAGTATATATCTCGGCAATTGCATGTGATCTGATGTAAAGACCCCAAATGTAACTCTTATATTCAATTTTTTTAAATTTCTGATACCTCTTTAAACGTCTAAATATTGTCTATGAAGTTGTTTTTTCCATTTGTAAAATATAAATTTGCTGAGTGAAATGCTCTAATTGATGCCATCGCCTCACAATTTACAATTTCGTTCCACCTCTATAGATGTAAGAATGTTTTTGCTCAAATTGCTTCTACAAAGATGTAGACTTCCAATATATTGACCTTTAAAAAATGAGGTCTTCATGATATTGATTGAAGTTTGGGACCATTGACCAAATTTGACAGTAGAAAAAAAAGATTTATTGATGTTATTCTTTAAAATAAGAGTAAAACCATGTGAATATTCTACTGATTGTCTGTAAGATTAAAATCTTTTCTACACGGAAAGCAAGTTGGTGAAGCAGAAGATTATTTGACAAGTTGGTGTCTTTGTTTGACAAACTGACGCTGATATTGATAGCAGTGGTATAACTAACTAGTTGATTGGTTTGGGGGGAATAAGTCAGCTACAACAGTTAGTTTGATTTACCAACCCGCCGCCTCCTCACCTCAATCCTGCCAATGTAAAGTCTACGACTCTATCAAATCTGCTAAGTAAGCAGAATGGAAGCAAATTGACTGACTAGACTTAGAAATGTTCTAATCAACAATGATGGCCACATATTGTAGTAGGACTATAATCCACCCAACAAAAATTAGTCTTTACTGGACAGAGACTATATAAAGTTGGCTTATATTTCCCACTGAGAATAAAGCAATTGATGTCGAATAAATAAGTTAATCCCTTGGTCATCTAAGGTGAAGACTGGACAACCTAGTTGTGTGTCTGGACAAAACTCTTGAGTGGTGTGTGGTCACTATTTGATTGTACAGTTGAACATATTGAATTACTTGTTAATGAATAGTTGAATATTGTCTAGCCTCAAAATTGTTCTTCTTTGTTCAACAAAATACTCCTAATAAATATTTCACTTCCTAGCATTACCAATTGAAGACAGGTAGGAAATTTCGTATCTTTTGAACAGGTTACAGTCAGATATGTTATACATGATTTTATTCAATTTGATATATATGCAACATTTTACATTTTCTTTAAATTTTATAGAACTTTTTGTCTCCGTTAAGATCTACAAGAACCCTTTTATGCACAGACAATGACATACCTCTTAAAAATTGTTGGGGTTAGATAGACTCTTAGACACAATGGGGGGTTTGGTTGGATGGCCGAATGGTTAGCATGTGCACGCTGTATCATAAGATCTGCCATTGAGTCAACTGGCGTGGTTTTGATTCCCTGGTTGTTCTTTGGGTCCTCCGGTTTCCCCCTACGATCAAGCGAATTGTTAAAATAAAATTGAACCATGTGTTAGTCCCGAAATGACCTAGTTTGTGTCCAGTGGACTTAAACCCCATCTCTCTCTCTCTCTTAGACACAGATCACTCTTTCATATTGAGATTAGAACAGATCACTGTCGTATTGAGATTACAACAGATCACTCTCCCATATTGAGATAAGATACAGATCACTCTCTCATATTAAGATAAGACACAGATCACTCTGTTCAACTGAGATCAGAACAGATCACTCTCTTTTGTTGAGATTAAACAGAACTCTTTCCGTTGCTAAATTATAAATCTTTCTCATGCTAAATTAGAACTGTTTCTCATGGAAAATGGAATTAGTTCTTATCATAAGATACCCTTTTCTCATCTCAAAATAGAGCTATTTCTATATTCATGATTGATTCCAGGTTGTTTGAACATGTATAGAAGTTTTCAGTAATTCCATTTCTGGTTGAAATTCAATTTGATTGTGCCTGTAAAATTTATTGATGGTTCTGATAGTGATGGTAAAGCTCATTTATGTGAATTATTGGCCAGACAGTCTGTAGACGATTGTTTTTTTCATCCGTCCTATTAAAATCGAACCATGTGTTAGTCCCGAAATGACCTAGTTTGTGTCCAGTGGACTTAAACCCCATCTCTCTCTCTCTCTTAGACACAGATCACTCTTTCATATTGAGATTAGAACAGATCACTGTCGTATTGAGATTACAACAGATCACTCTCCCATATTGAGATAAGATACAGATCACTCTCTCATATTAAGATAAGACACAGATCACTCTGTTCAACTGAGATCAGAACAGATCACTCTCTTTTGTTGAGATTAAACAGAACTCTTTCCGTTGCTAAATTATAAATCTTTCTCATGCTAAATTAGAACTGTTTCTCATGGAAAATGGAATTAGTTCTTATCATAAGATACCCTTTTCTCATCTCAAAATAGAGCTATTTCTATATTCATGATTGATTCCAGGTTGTTTGAACATGTATAGAAGTTTTCAGTAATTCCATTTCTGGTTGAAATTCAATTTGATTGTGCCTGTAAAATTTATTGATGGTTCTGATAGTGATGGTAAAGCTCATTTATGTGAATTATTGGCCAGACAGTCTGTAGACGATTGTTTTTTTCATCCGTCCTACCCGCTGGACCATTTAAAGGTGATTTGTAAGATGAAGCTACAGGTGTCATTGATTAGACGAAACAAACTAACAACTTCTTTTTTTTTCTCTATATATCTCAGCATTTCTCACCACCTCCCGGTCTCCGTCGCTACTAATAGACCACTTTTAATCTATCTATTCTTAGCCAGCGTATAGACACTGAACGATTGATAAATAGACCTACTGATCGAAAAGAAATTCAATGTAATTAATGGAAATTGGTACTTCATCACTTTTTCCTTTAGTCAAGAAAAACATTACAGTATTGACAATGCAATTTCATCAATCAAACTCATTTTGGTAGAAATGGAAAGTATTGAGAAAAATCAAATGATTAATTTCCTAGCTTTGTAAACAATGATCGTCTAAGGTCACTGAGCAAATAGCTGTATGTGCCATTCGTCCGATATAAGCCAGTCTGTCGGAACAACAGAACATTTAACGAAGCCTTTCCTTCTTTTCTAGTGTGACCAAGCAATAATTGCGACCACAACTGTATTAACTGCATATAGCCTAGTGTCGACTGATTGCGTCTGAAAGACTAGGATAGGATCAAGTTCAAATCAAATGTGGCAGATTTTCCTGGCCGATCTCTTGTCTAAGTGGACGGGTAATGAGGAAATTAATTCCATTATACCAAGTACTCTGTGTCAAGCTTGCGTAACGATAATGATGCTCCGCTAAATGATAATTTGATGCTCACATTTGTATATTGAATTCGAGTAGATTTCTGTCTGGACAAAACTGAATTTCTAATATTAAGCCTGCAGCCAGACAGAATGAAATGGTATTCATCAGATCTATATATGTCTGAAAGTGCTGGCAGACGATTATTTATTCGGTTATGTGTTCAATTTCATAATTATCTATCATTAATATCAGTAGCTAGACTGACTAGTTTTTATTAGTCTGTAGATGGTAATACAATGATTACATTAAAATAATAAAAATAAATGCTAAGACAGCACAAGATTGAGTCTAAAGGAATTAATTATAATGTGTCGTATTTCTAATACCTTTTATGTTTGACACCGTCTGCCAGATGCCGAGTTTTAGTGCAATAAATTTTCATTTTCTCATTCAGAATTCCTATATCTACCATTCATAGAAGAGTTCTGATGTTTTCTCTTTGTTAATGATGTTGATATGGTAATCTTTGATATCATACCATCTTTTAAGACAGTGTATTGGACCTGCAGGAAATCAGAATAGGCCAATGTCGTCATTTCTGTCCAGCACAAACTATTTCATTTTTAACCTCCAAGAGTTTTCAACCAAATTTCACATTATCTACAGGAAATGGGTGTTAGATTTGTCCATTATTATGAAGAATTATTGTACCCAGGCCAAGGGTTGAGCATGGTCACTTAAACTCTTTCGCTGCGGCAGGTGACTATAGTCGACTAGACGGGTCGCTGCGGCAGGCGACTATAGTCAACAAATTTGATGGAAAGTAGTTTAGTACAGGTGTAATTTTTTACAGCGCGTGAAAGATGTTACTAATAATAGACACGGGTGTCAACACTATAAATGACGAAAGGTCTTTGTTAGAATAAAATTAAACCATATCTTAGTCTCGAAATGACATAGTTTGTGTCGAGTGGATGTTAAACCCCATTTCTCTCTCTCTTTGTTAGCTTGAGAAAAAAGTTTTTATCGATATATGTGATTTTGAGCAAAAGCATTAAAACAGAATGGCATCAAATAAACATATTTCAACAGATAAATCTATTGAAGATTATTCTCTTAGATTCTAGAGCAGAATATAAAGATTTTGACTCCGATAACTAAGTGAACAATTGACGACAAATTCCAACGAAGAAATGTTTTATTTGTAGTAATTCTACTGACCTCAGCATAAACAGGCTTTGTTGTTTTTTTACTAATCATTCTATATAAATATATATTTTCTATAAATAGAATAAATATGGCTGACAAAATCATTGTTCCTACATCAAAATTTGATTTAAAACCCAATTACATATTAGTAAGATGTCATGAAAATTTCGTCAAAATATTTTCATTGTCAGGCCCTCCGTCCTGCATCACTGACAAGGAGGAACCACTCCGGAGAAACTGAATGTACTTTCTCGGCCAATACTAGGATCGAACACCCGCCCTCCAGGCTAGTGAGCCAGCGTCTTACCCACTTAGCCTGCATGACCCCCGTATGAAAGATGAATCCAGACCCAAGTTTTATATATATACCAGGTATTCTGTAAAGAATATAATGCACTGTCGCACACCCAACTATAGTCTTCAGACCAAAACTTTACAGAGACTTAAGAAGATGGTAACAATGCACCAAGAGGAATTTAATTAAGAAAAAGACAGTTTAACTCATCCATAGAATGATGAGCAACTCATAGATGATTGTTTGCTATTTTCCATTAAGTGACATTGTCTGCTAAATTGCCCTCATAAGACAAAATCAAACCACATTTTTTAGTCCTCCCCCGCCCAATCATCCAAAAATCTTACTTTATTCCAAATACTTAACATAAATGTAATAGTTTAAATTATATATTTTAAAAACATAATCTCAATTTAAACTATAATCATACAGTTTAGAAAATGTCATCAAATTAGAACCTTTCTTCCAATATTGTATGAGAAAAAAACAAACACCTTTCCCCGCTTGCTCAGTTTCATCTGTGGATGAAGGTCAGAAAAGTCGTAAAATACTATGCTAGTTCTTATTCCTAATTAAGTCATGTCATCAGCTTTTCCTGGTTTACATTTAATTGAAGAAACAACTTTTACTTAGTATTCAGAGTTTTGGCTGTCTGTATAATTAGTCATTAACTTATCTTTTTCCACCCCCTGGTATTCTTGACTCCATGGCCTGTCGGACAACCTTGTTTGATTGCCATCTTATTTAAGTACTCCTGCTATGATTCCAGAATCAGCTGTAGACATCTTTTATTTAATCTGATACAGACTTTTTATCCAATGCTTTTTGGACAGAATTAGATAGAAAATTTCCATTTAAGTAGCATTATTAATAAATTGTGTGGCTGGTCAGTGATGGGAATTAAAGACATGATTCTTTGTTAATACATTTATATCATTATGGTTGAGATAACGGTAGTAACTAAGCTCAATTAAAATATTTTTATACTGTCTGTCAGGATTGGATCTTTGTCATATGTTCTTCCTGTTAAGATGCCTATTGCAGTATTCCAATTGTATTAATGTTACTGGATTAATAGTTATTAACAAGAAGTTTCCCTATAAGGACACCAGCAATAAATCTTGTTAGCTGATTATTGGATATACCTAAGTTTATACAGCTTTCATAGAAGGCCATAGAACTTGACTCCCAGACTCTATGACAATAAACATTATGCCATTATGGGGGATTGCATGTAATCTGTCTGTCACAGTGAATCACATCAAATGTCAATGGGGTATCATGTTTTGTCTGCTTCTCATCTTAATCATGGACATGGCTAATTATTCCACAGGACATTTCTTGCTATGTCTGGGTTGATTTGACTTAAATATATATATTTATTATCTATGTTTGAGTTAACTATGTATACATGTTGTGATTTGATATGATTTTATTCAAAATGGCTTACTGATTCTCTGGATGTATGTTATTGTCACTGTCAACTTATTTAAAAATAGTTGATATGCAGACAGTGTTTTCCTGTTCCTTCAACATTCAGAGACAGTTTGTATTATGGTAAGGTTTAATTCTTTTCTGAAGGGCTATGATGCGTCTCTTATTTAGCAGGTAAACACTTTTATTGATTTGTGGAAGTTTTCAATGAAACTTGAGCTCAACTTGGGTAAACTTATTTTCCTTGTTCTAACTAGTACCTATCTTGTGATGTTTGCATAAGTTGTAACCGAATGAAAAGTTTCACTGAGTATTTGCTGTGAACTCGAAGAATTTCAGATGGTTCTCAGTCCTTAAAATCCATTTCATTGGAGGTTGTCAAACTTTGTAAATTATCTTTTAAAAACTTATAAAAATTAGAAAACTGAAATTTGTGAAATCTTGAGTGCTTTAAACCATTAGCTTTTTGGAGACCTGCGCCCTGAGCAGACAGTCTTGTCAGTTGTCGATGGTGGCTAATAATGAAAATAGCTGTCTTTTGATCAGAGGTCCATGTCTTTCTTGGAAACTGAAACCTAAATTGATGCAAACTGATCCATGACTTCTAACATTGTCAAGTAATAAGCTCTTATCATATCAGTTCACTATTGGCACAAACTGTCTTGAGGCTAGAAAATACTTTAAGATGATTATGAAACAGTAAGATCAATAAAAGACTTGATGACTGTACAGTTCAGAAACATATGTTAAAGTTAAGCAATATATCATACAGGAAGACATAATCAGCTACTATGATTGTTTAAATGAGATGTATGTAGCCCACCTCATACAAACCATTAAATTATAACTAAAAAAAGCCCATATCCTTGCAGAATCTGATTAAAACCTAAAATACTTGCCTTTTTGTATGTCCACACTTGGTACCATTACAAAGCCCAGACATCCCCATAGTTGTCAAACAAGTAAATGAAAAGGAGAAATAAGCCATTGAAGAAGGGAATTTCTAATAAAGTGGAATCAATTTTAAAAAGCTATGCATGCACATTTAGAAATGAACAGAGTTCAAGCAGAGTAGATACTGAAGAAGAGCTAAAAACAGCTACCCAGGTTTTCTATTAATGTTCAAAGACAAAAAGTACCAACACAAAGTCCAAACTTCTAACTGAATGCAAATTTTAAGCTACTAATTATAATTAACTACCATAAAAATCAGATCTCAGTGAAAAGTAATAATGGAAAATTCACATTGGAAGATTCAGCAGCTTGGCAGCAATAGGTACTATATCAGCGTCAACGATGAATGATCTTTTCTTAACCAGTCTTGGCTTCTCAAACATTTTTCACCAATTTCTTGGGTTGCTCACTGTTTGTCAGCAAACATCTTTTTTGAAGTCTAAGGTCTTGCTTTGAAATGAAGTTTTAAATATTATCTATAATTCAATGTGTAAAGTAACAATCAAATCACTAGTTATATATCTTGGTTTTATTTAAATGTAATGGGTAATCCTTGTTTCTTGTTGTGCAAGTAAAAAGAGAAAATCTGACAAGTAACTTAAAAAATTCTTTCGCAAATTCCCAGTTATTTAATTTTCCTGGCTCAGAGCTGTTATTTTGATAACAAATTTTAATAATTTGTAATGAAAAATTGATTGAAACTGGAAATTGAAAATATATCTTTCAATGACCAAGGTAGGAAATTAATTGAATAATTCTAGTGTTAAAATCTAGATTAAATAGTCCATTCAACACTTTACTCTTGGACAGACGCAAGACATAGCTTAAGGCATTGTCTCTTCTAGACAGAATTAAATGTAAGCCACTCATTCTCTTCTAAATAAGACTGAGTTCATTAAACCTGTTGTGGTCAAAGTGAGCTGATAAGGTCAGATTGGCGGTCAGTTTGTTGGTCAGATCAACTCTTGAAGTATTAACTCCGGTTTCTCAACGGAAACCTTGAAGCAATATAAACTTACATCACATCAAAACATGATTTCGCTATGTGGGTTCTAAGTGTTTAAAGAGCAAATTAATGTATCGATCAAATATACTGAGTTACAATATATCTTGAAACTGTTTCTTTGTTTCTGATATCCAGATATTTTTGTGACTGACACTGAATATGCTTCAGCCAACTACTGGATTGAAATTTTCACATACTGGATGTCAGAGGCATTGATTTAAAATAAAAAGGTTTTATATTTTTTAATGATTTAGTTTGACACTATTCCTTAGTCAATAATTCTTCAAATATTTGTTTGGGGTCAAAATAGAAACATTTAAAGATCTCCTTGTGTGATAGTTTCCATGTAGGAAATGTATTATTTATCTATATAGTCACAGTACAAAGTGACATATAAGAAATAATCACTGATAAATAACTTTAACAGAAAAAATGAAAGATTAGAAATAAATTTTTATATTTTTCATTGTTTTTTTATGTATTGAATATCACTAATTTACCTTACATGTATGTTCTATTGGTAATTGCTGATGGTTTTTTGGGGGTATTACAACAAAATGAGATTTTAAGAGTTTGGTAATTACAAACCTAGACCTATATTTTATAGTAGGATAGTGTTTGCAAAAAATTTGAGACATTGTGAATTCCCTGAAGGAAATCAGTCTAACAAACGTAACCTTTTGTCGATTAAGGAAACTTTAATGTTACTCTATGGTCTATAATAGTGTGAAATTATGTACAGCAAGGGAAATTTTAAATGTCTGAGAAATTATTTTGGACAAAGTTTGTGTGGTTTAATGTAGTGAGGATGTTGGATGTCGTTGATGATGTAGGTGGATGAAGCCACTGAACTGAAATCATTAAATTACTATGGTTCTAATTATGGTTGAATAGGGTAAATATATCTTGTTGTGCCGTCTGCAATCAGACAAAGTATTGGACATCTCAAGCCATTATACAGTTTGAGACATCTTTACAATCTTCCTCTACTTCCATTTAGATAAGACATGATCATTGCTTAGTAGTTGATTCCACTTCCAAATAATCGAAATCTTGGCTACCATGATGTGTATTCTATGAATGATTTTCTGAAAAATCTGATGTACTTTAATTGTCATTTGCTCATCTAACCAGTTGGGGGATTTTATTTTCAGTTGAGACTTTATGAATCACAGTATTCACAGACAGTCCAAATTAGCACCTTTATACTACCATGATATCAATTGAATGCTGTAGATGGAATAGCTTAAAGTAGCAATATTGTTATTAATTTATAATAATATCCAGAGCATCCTTGCATGGAGTGAAAAAGTGGTATATTATGGCCATCTACAAAATTATTAAATCTTTCTTCCAAATCTCCACATTACCCAAATATTTCTAATGCATCATTCGTTGTCATTGACAAAGAGGTGTATTGGTTGGTGTGCACATAAAAGAACCCTTGACAGTTTGCATATGATGAAGAGTAGGTGGGTACATAACACGGTTGTTGTAATACATTATTTATTCTTGTTAGAAGACCCTGTTTCAATATAGTTTTCTTAATAGTGCAGTGCAATTTGTCTACTAACCTGATTTTAATTCTTTAGATAGGAATGCGAATATTTATACAAACTTAACAGTCTGTTTTGCTTACAGTTATATCAAGTTAAAATGATGGAACAATTCAAATAGGATACTGATGATCTTACTAGTTTAGTTTACAGAATTTATAGCTAAGATCTGCTGAGAGAAATTCTGCCAAAAGGAGAATTTCACAATGCACCAATGTGTAAAATGCACCTGTCAACACTACACAAAGTAGAGAAAAGATTGTGGGGCTGCACTTACAATAGTTGTCTGTTTCATGTCTTTGATGGACAATTTGCTCTCTACAGAAATGATTAGTGATGCTTTAATTTCAATACTAAAAAAAAAATGTTATTTCACACTTTACTGAAAACAAATTTTGTCACAAAATGCAAAGTTTAAAAATCTGTTTGTAATAGTAGCTTCAGTTGGAGTAAGCATATATAGTTTAATGGTGTTAACATCATCTGGTTTTATAAAACTTGTATAATATAGGTATTTATGTATGTAGGAGGATAGACTGGTATAACAGCCAGTAATCAATAGACTTTACGTCTACGCACCAGACATAGACCACTAGATGGCAGATAGACAACTATACAACGTCCAATAAGCAAAATTAGTCATTTTACCTGTTAAAACGGTCTGGCTTGGTGATGGTTTGTAAAGCTGTTTAGTTGTGAAAATTATGTACATATGTAGGCCGTATAGTTTTCATATTATTGAGAAAGTAAGTAAGTGCAAGGTTAGTAGAACTTGATAGAGAAAGTGGCTTACTGACTACTTATAGACTTGTATAAATACAGTGTAAGTTTGGTTCACATGTTTACTGGTGGACCATTTTGTGTTTCTTACTTTGCCAGCGTGTCAGTATGTTAAAGTTGTACTGCTGTTCTGTCTAGTCAAACCACAAACCGTGGTTATAAATAGCTTGGTTATGCTTCATACAGTCTAGAAGAGTCAACTTGAACTTTGCAGGGGTGACAGGTCCTAAATTGTGGAAAATCTTAGCCATGATGTGCTCAGCTTAGCGATTTTACTTGCTTAGTGACACAAGATACCATTTTGGATTTTTTTTTGTGTGTGTTACAGTGCTAAGTAAATATTATGTTATGTGTATGGAGGAAATAATGAAATTAGTTTATAGTTAATTGCACAGTGGATGGTTATCGTTAGATAGTGACTATGTAATAATGGAGACTTGAAGACATTGACAGTGATTGGGTAAGGTTAGTTTCTGGTTTCAGATTGATTTGTGTGCCCCCTGTAAAAGTATATCTACCATAATAAGAGTTGATTCGTAGTGTCTATATTTAGGAAGAGACAAGTGTTTTATTTTTAAAGGTAAGTTACCACAGCTGTGATTACTTGAACCTTCCAGTG